GCAGCACACCTCGTCGATGACTTCCTGCAGCGACTTGATCTGGCTCTGCGGCGCCGACCTGCGGCGCGGCGCGGCGGGTCGGGATGCGGAGGGCGGCGCGTGCGGCCGCCCGCGCGCGCGTCGCGCGCACCACGCGTCCCGCTTCCTCTTCCCCTTCTTCTTCTTGGAGGCCCGCTTGGAGGCGCCATCCACCTGCCGGCCGGCAGTAGTGGTGACGGGGTCGGCGACCGGCGGCTCGGGCGCAAGACACGGCGCGCGCGCACCGCCATCTCGTCGCCGGAGGACGCATCCGCCCACGGGTCGTACTCGTCGTCGTCCGCTTCCGCGCCGCGCGGGACGTGCCAGTTGTCGGCCTCGAGCGCGTCGAGCCGCTTCTGCACAATCTGCCTGCGCGTCTCCTCGTCGAAGACGCGGACGCGCGAGGAGGCCTTGCGCGCACGCTTGGAGCGGGGCGCCAGCTCCGCCATACTGGAGCCGACGCTGGAGCCCCTCCTAGCGCGACCCGGAACACAAGAGAGAAAGTCCACTTTTTTCAGTTTGAGGCGAAAGGATAGACGAATTTCAATCGTGATTCGCGAGGCAACGTTGACTGACTTATGGGTATTGCTCGCCAGGCACATGGCCACCCTCCTTGAGCGCAGCGGCGAGCTGCCGATACACCGACGTGTTGGCGTCGTTCAGCGAGTGCTGCGCGGCGCGCTCGAAGCAGCAAGCAACTCGCTTCGCCTCGTCGCGTGCCTTCAGCATGGCGACACCAAGCATCCACCAGGCGCGCGGCGACTCGGGGTAGTGCCGGACCACCTTTAGCGCGACGTTACGACGCGCGTCCAGATCGTCCATCCACCGCGGCTTCCGACAGCTCGCATTCTTCGGCGGGTAGTAGGCATCGTGGACGGTGAGCGCCATGGCGCACCACTCACGGCCCTCGAAGCCGACGCTCTCCATACGCCGCAGGCACTCGCGCACGTCGTCGTCTCCGCTCGCCGCTCGCCATGCTGCAGAGGCCTTCGCCTCCAAACATGCATGCCGCTCCTCGAGCAGCTGGCGCGCGTGTGCGCTGCCCGTCACTGCCGCCGCTCGCTTGAGGCATGCAAGCGAGCGCTTGACGTCTTGGTGCTCCGCGGAAAGGAGCTCATGGCTCAGCATCTGCCAGGCGTGAGTGAGGTCCGGCCATTGCTCCACTGCCTGCTCGGCGACTCGTAGCCGCTCGGCCGGTGATTTCATCCACTCGGGCGTGGGCAGCGCCTCCTCGGCGCGCCCTCCCTTGTCGCTCCACCGCACCCACAGGCGCGCGGCCGCCTGGCTCCACAGGGGAGCGCTGCGCTCGGTCATGCTCTGCGCCTGCATGAAGCTCGTGATCGCGCTCCTCGAGTCGCCGGATGCGGCCAGCGCTTGGCCCAGCGTGTAATGGCCTTCTGCAGTGGCTCGCCGTCGGAGACTCTTGCGACATGCTTTCGCAGCTCCGCGGTAGTCCTGCTGCTGAAGCAGCGCCTGCCCACGCAGCAGATCGCCGACGTGCTGATTCTCGGGAAGCGTGTCCTGCGCCAATTCCGCCATGCCCAGGAGCACCTTCTCGCAAGCTGCGAGTGCCGGCTGGGAAGCAGCATGCTCAGCCGTCGAGCAGGTGCGGCTGCGCTCCAGCCATGCTTTTCTCTCGGTGTGGAATGCCTTGTGGCGCTTCCAGTTTGCTGCGTAGCACTCATTACTGCAGAAGCGGGCTGGCTCGAGCTGCAATTCGATGCAGAGCGGACACTGCTGAAAGTCTTTGCCGCTCGCCGCGTCGTCGCGATACCCGCAGCCCCAGCAGACGTGCTTCTGCGCCGTCAGCATATGGCGCCGCCTCAACGTTCATTCACATTCACACCCTCTTTCTTTCACATAAACGCACGACCCCGGGCCCGAAATCGCACAGAGACAGTCACGCAACACGGGGTCCCAGGGAAGGCGAGCAAAAACCTTATCGCGCGCGCTAGCAAGTATTCGCGAGATACTCTCTGAATTCGAAGAAATCTCTCTCTCTATATGAATTCGCGGAGCGAAGAAAATTTTATACGGAATACGTCGCTTTTAACCGTCTGCTCGGCGTAGACGAGGTAGAGGGACGCGGTCTCCGGCTCCTTGCACGCTCCTCGTCGAATTGCGTCCTCGTCGAACGGCTTGAAGCTGTGAGTCACGGGCGGGGGCGGGATGAGAAGAGATGGCGAGGGGCGGCTCGGGCGGGATCTAGAAAGTTGTGTTTGTCAGGATCTATGGCTGGCACCTGTCGACTACCATGTTCAAACTCCGCACTTTAATTCGAACTTTCTCGCCTCGGCTCGTGGGGCTCGGGAGCAGTCAAGCAGGTGTGCGGGGTGGGCGGGAGGGGGCCTGGGAGCATTTTTTTGCATTTCCGAGGCGAGCGTGGGCCGTGGTGGGCCCCTCCGGGCCTCTCTCAGCAGCACGGAAAGTAGCGCGCGACAGAGCGCTGTTCTCGGCCCCCTGAGCGTATTGGGACGAGCCAGACTAGCATGCACATCGCCTTGGCACGTAGGACGCACGACTTACCCACGCACACCCCGGTGACAATCTTGGAAATCTCCCGACAATCTCCCCAAATCTCCTCCCGCTCTCGCGAGTAGCGCGGCGCAGCGGGGCGCGTTGATGTCGATGAATGCAGTGTGGACTCCTTTTCGACACTCTCTAGCACCGGTGAACACACAGGCGTTGCTTC